GCACAAAAGTTTTACGGCAATTAGATACTATGCCGTAATTAATTCTACCACGTGGTAAAATGCCGTAATGCCGTAATTCAGTAATTCTACCAACAACCATAGTCCGGACCACGGTCTTTGCAGGACCGTAACATCCCTATACATCACATGCCTAATAGTGTTAACTTATATATTTACTAAATGTAATACTGATACTCACGTCCTTGTTTCGTGCGCAGCTATCATATTTTATTAATTATGTGGATTTATTATTATTTATTTGTATTGCGTATTTTTTATTAATTATGGGAATTTTTTATTATTTATTTGTATTGCACATTTTATTATTAAACATGTAAATGTGTTCAATGCTGTTTTTAGTTATATAAACACCCACATCTAATATACTTAATAAATATTCATTTCATAAAATACATATCGCATTGACATAATGTCTTTCGTTACAAAACCAATGTCTTTTGTAAATTCTATGATATGGGTACTATGGTTTATGATTATATTATTCATTATATCAACTTTAAAGAACAACAACAAACCAATGGTTGAAACAATGGTTGAAACAATGGTTAAAACAAATCTCACAATAAATTTAACACTAATAAATGAGCTTAAAATCAAGCCTACAAGTCTTATGGAATGGAAAAGAAGGCATTACTTAACAAATTATCTAAATAAAAATAAGAAGGTGAAAATATACTTAATATCTGCTAAACAGTATGGTCGAACGGATGTGAAGCACCTCAAATATAACCACGATGGAACTTTAATGAATTGTGATATGCCATGTATTTGGAATATGACTGATCTAGACAATTTAACTCCTGAAGATCTTAAAACGGCTGATGGCTTATTTTGTGTAGATCGATTAAAACTCCCTAATGTAAAATCTTGGGATGGTCAAAAGTTTATACGATTTACAAATGAACCACCTAGTAATTGCCCATGGTGTTACGAAATGATGGAAAGATTTGATTTTCTATCTTCATACAGTGAAGATTCGAATGTACCTACAAGTTACATTCGAGAAGATCCCATAGATTGGTTAGAAAGGCAACCTTTTAATATAGAAAACCTCTCTGATAATTCAACTTTCGTTTCTTTCATTGCTTCCCACTGGACTGATTTCCGTAAAGATTGGATTCCAAAACTTCAAGCTCACATCCCTGTCGCGTCTTTTGGCAATGTCTACAAGAATACTGATTGGAATGTTCATTCGGAATGTTCTGCTTTAGAGAACATTACCTCCTACCATTTCGAAGATTTTAAAGCAAAGAATTGTATTATTGCAAAATATCCTTTTTATCTATCTATTGAGAATTCTCAATATGATGATTATTCTACTGAAAAACTTTGGGATGCATTTAAGTTAGGTGTCGTACCCATTATATGGGGTGCTCCTAATAGTCGTTCTTACATACCACATCCTAAATCGGCTATTTTTATTGAAGATTATCCAAACGTTGAAGACCTTGCAAATCATTTAAAATACTTGGTTAAAAACAAGACTGCTTATTTAGAATATCATCAGTGGCGATTCACAAAGGCATGGTCTGAAAGATTTGAGAGGAAGGTCTAGTTGTTGGTAGTGTGGAAGAAGGATTCTGAAACTATTATAGGCCATTACAGTTTCTTTCAGAAAAGTGAACCATAATAGTTTTCAACCTTTAGATAGGTATAACAGTTATGGTAAAAGATGTTTCTATTTTAATAAAGTAGTATTGTCACTGTATAGAGCTGTTCAAGGTATAGGATATTAAGGTTTCTGATTTGTTTTTTGAAGCTAATATATTGAAGGTATTGAAATAAAATTGATTCTATCGATTGGAGATTATATAATATAGTGTTTAGCTATAAAATATTGGAATTAGCTATTATGAATATGTTTAGGTGTTTCAGTAATTGAATAATTTTGAAATTTAGTATGTGTTTATTTGGATCATTGATAATAAGATTGGGGTGTTGAAGTATATTAATAGTTGACTATAGGTTGTTTTGAAGTTGTTATAGTCTTATCTGTATTGAAGTTCCTAGTAAATTAGAATTGTTGAGTCATGATAAAAAGTTAGTAATAAGATGTTAGAGTTTAATATCCCATATATTATAAATATTATACAGATATAGGTTAAGCATAGTACTATTGGGGATTGAGCATGCTAGATGGGATTTGTGTTTGGTTATTGTTAAGTATTTGGCAAGAATATTGTTACACATAAAATGAGGCATAATAATGTTGTATAATCTATATTCAAGTGTAAATATAATAACTGTATTGATTATATAGATAATTTGTTTATCTGTATTTTTCTTTGTACTAGCAATGTTTGTGAGTTAAAGAGTTTCTTCTCAGATGATTTTAATTTATTTGGTATGTTTGTTGTTAAGTGTAAATCAACAAACTAAAAACTTAAATAGTTGGCTAGCAGATATGGATTTTAAAATATAGTTGAAAAATTGAATATTAGATGTAGATGAGTTAGAAATAAAGACAGTTTTGTAGCATTAATCTGAATGTTGACTATTAAATAGAAAGATGAAGCAGTTTGGGTAATTTGTTCTAATTTTTGTTTTGTTTTTGCTATTCAAAGTGTATCATTCATGTAAGCTAATACTGATGTAGATGCTTAAAGCCTTTGGGATCTAGGTGGTTAAAGATAAGTTTTCCAAGATATAGATAAAACCATTATATTGTAATGCAATTTTATAAATAAGTAGGTCATAATAAATGCATCAGAATAGTGAGATTATTGTTTCTCTCTGGTCTATTCTATTTTTAATTGTATATAGGTTGGTTAGGCCAAGGTTAGTGATTACTTTATTTTAACAGTTTGTTAATAAATTAGTAAGTATGTTAACTAGCTTAGAAGGCATGTTAATGTGAATTAGTGCCTTTTGAACAGGTTCAGATTAACTGAATCATATGCTTTGCTCATATCTTGAAATTAAGCCAAAGCTGTTTGGAGTTGCAAGATGCATCTTTGATAATATTATTTAAGATATGTATAGGTATAGCTATGCTATTATCTAACAGAGCAATGTAATTATAAGGAGTGAGAATTTTATGTTTAGTAAATACTTGATTTAAATGGTTTGTAAGAAGTTTTGTATATAGTTTTTGGCATGTTCGAGAAAGCTAATAGGTCTGGTGTTGATTAAGTTGCAGTTAAAAATAGGTTTTTTAGAAATTGAGAAAATTCTACTCTCTTTTTATTGCTTGGAGATTTGGTTTAGAGTAATACATTTATTTAAGAGGACTGTAATTGCTTGGAGATTTGGTTTAGAGTAATACATTTATTTAAGAGGACTGTAATTGCTTGAAGGAAGAGTATGTCTGCATGTTTTAACATTTCATAACTAATGCCAAAAGGGCTACAAACCTTATTGTTTAGAAGATGTGATAATGTTTCAGTTACTTCAGTAATAGTAAATTCTTTAGTAATGTTATTATACCACTTAGTATTAATATGCATTTTGCGGTTATATTCTTTTTTCTAATTGGATTTAAAGATTTGTTGATCAGTCTGTCTAAAAGATGTCCATTGGTCAAAGTGTTGTCAGATATGTTGTTTAATGTCTTGAGGATTAGTAATTATATTATTGTTTGTTCTGATGTTATCAAATTTTACTGGGTCTTTGTAATGGTTAAGTATATTATTAATTATTAACTTTGGATTGGATTGGAGTTTGGAGCATCTTTTGAAAATATTATCATTAATTTGTTGCTTTATTTCTTTAATATTTTCTATATTGTGAGCATGATAGATAGATTTTCATTTAGTTTTTGTGAGTGCTAGCCAGTTTGACAATAAGTTATGAATAGTTAATAAAAGTAGAACATTGAGCTAATTAGATGTATTTATTTGATTAATAAGGTGATTATGTTGATATGATATTAAGGTAGAGTTTTTTAGTAAGTATTTGACTTGTTTAATAATATTGCCTAATTTCTTAAGATGTTGGTATAAAGATGATGCCTTTGTAAAAAAGATATTTTGAAAGTTTCTAATAGTGAATTTTTTATTTGGAATATGTTGTATAGCAGCAGAGATGATGCTATTTTGAATTTTATGCCAGGAAGATTCTAGTAATTCTGAAATTTGTGTGCTGAATAGAGTTTTATTATTATTAGGTTTAAGGTTACTTGATCTGCAAATTGTTGCTATTTCTCTTTGTTCATGTTTCTGTATAAAAATATTTTTCTACAGGTTTTGGTAGAATGTTTGAGTTTATCTATATATACATAAAGAAAAAGCCAGCAGAAGTTTAAAATTTTATAATCACTTTGAGTACTAGTATTGGAATTATTTGTAGTAAAAAAGTTAAGATATCAAAGAAGAGGTTGATTAGCCTAGATATAATCTATGCTACTCTAATATCTGTTGCTTTGCCAAGTAGATATTGAATTATTAGTGTATATAGCTAGATTATACATGTTGTTGTATTGAAGAAAATAAAGTAACTTATATTTAGTTGATAAGGAGTGAATGATGTTATTAGAGGCATTAAAGTCTTTCAGGACAATAGGTTGGATATTTGATGCATAGGCTTGTTGGAGCCATTGTATTACAGTATTTTGTACTAACAGTTTTAATTGAGTAGTATTATATAGTAAGTAAACTGAAATGATTTTGAATTTGAAGTTGTGTTTAAAAAGAATGTCTATTGTAATAGCATATCCAGGAGAGATAAGTATTTTATGAATGTGAGTTTTTATGAACTTGTGGATCATGATAGCTATGCCTGCTTTAGGGCCTTCAGTTCATGATCATAAGTATGTAAAATGTTTGGATTTTTGTAGTTTAGTAATTGGGTTGTTGGCTGCAATTTTGGCTTCTGTTATACTGATAATGCTAAGGTTGTTAGAGAAATAGTAGTCTTTCTATACTTGTTGTTTTAGGTTTTTATTAAATTCTTGAATATTGTATATACTAATTGATAAGTGAAGTTGGTTGTTGCTAGTCTGTATTTCTGAAACACTGTGGTTTGAGAAGTGATGGCTGTTATAGTTTGATGTTGTTTGGTTTAGAGATATTAAAATAGATAAATTGCGACAGGTAAATGGCAAGTCTGTCACTTCAATGGACAAAACCTTGTGTAATATTACAAAATAGCAAAAATAAGACTTCAAGGCATAGATTGATTAGGATGAGTATTTACTTTTATTTACTTTTGTCTATTTGTATTTGAGTTTTTCTATTTAGTAATACTTTATCTAACTACTATTAACTACTACTATTACTAAGAAACTTCAGTTCTTCCTTCTACTAGTTGGGCACCTAAACGATAAGTACTTTATTAAAATTTTGTTTGCTTTTTATACAATTTCACATTACTAACAATTTCTCTATTAAATTTAGTTTGCCCTCTTATTTTCCTATCATTCTGCCACTATGCCATTATGCTATCATGAGTTTTACTTAGATAGATAAGTATTGTTTTCTCAATTGTTTTAGTTTTACCTTATTCTATTGCAACCTTACTAATATGCCTCTCCATTACTTCAGAGTTTACTACCTTGAAACATCGCTGTTATAGTGTAATGCCTTTCCAAATTTGGCATAACTGCCTTGTTTTGTGTTCTTGATATGGGGGGCCGATTATGTGTGTTTTGCTTTTCTTCTTTTTTTGAAGAGTCAAAATGCATATACGATTTGTGGGTTCTGATTGTCATTCGTGCTACATATTGTTATGCATGAATCATTATGTTTTTCTAGCCCATAACAAAATGTTCATAGGATTTATATCAAATAGGATTTATAGCTGTATAATTAGGAATAGTAGAATCTGTAACTTTAGTATAAACATGTGTTTCTGTATTATCAAGATTAACTGATATTTTGATTAGGTCAAAGAAGAGATTTTGATGTAGGTGTTTAATGAAATCTTTAAGTATTATAGATTGTGGTAATAGAGATAGATGGTATTGTTTTAAAAATTTGTTATAACAAGTATTTGTTTCTAAAGGAGTTGAAGTATTAGTATCAAAAATATTATATATAGTGTCTTCTACAGGTTCATTCACACTAGGCTTTACTGCTTGCCTAATGTTATTATTCTCTTCTAAAGATGGCCTAAATGTGAAGGACATCATAGTTTTAGAGGTGGCAGCTGCATCAATATGTTCTGTAGAAGACATTACTAAAAAGAAGGATTTATACTTTCCTTTTGTAAGGTAAGAGTAGTGTTTTCTGTTGCTTTTGTTGTTTTCTTTGAAGTTATAGGTGTATTCTCATCTACTTCTTAAGATGTAAATGGCTTAGAGTTTTGTATAAAAAGAGAAACTTTGTATTGTTCTGAGATTGAAATTTTAAAGTGTTTTATTAAAAAATCTTTAGCTGCAGAGTAGTAGAATTAGTTTTAATTAATATATATTTGTTTAAGTAATATTTTGAATTCTATTTCTAATTTGAAGTATGTAATAACTTTTGTGAAAGTATGAATGTCATCAGTTGTTTTGATCATTTTTTCCAGAGCTTCTTTCTAGAATAGATCTGTAAGTTTATCATTATCTCTTGCTGCTAGCATAAAGGCTCTTAAGTATTAGTAGAAGTAATATAAAAATCAGACTGTATTACTTTC